AAACGTTCATTGAGTGTGTGTGAGCGACACTGTTGTGTGTTTGTCAAATACCTCATAAGTCATCAATCGATGGGAAAATATTCTAGGAAAAAATTAGGAAGCCTTCGCCCTTGACCACCACAACGACGATCCATTTATCGCATCAAGTTATGTACCTATCCTAAGGTTTTGGTTTGCGAAATCATGACCAGGTCAAGTTTGCACTTGCACGTGCCATTCAGAGAAGTCCTCATGTCAGGAATCTAATGCTTCAGCATCTAGTGCGAAACGTTCAATATTTAATGTAGAGATGAGATACTTCCTTGTCACAAATTATTTTTCCCGAGTCGGGCACTGACTTTTAATTGCACTGTGATTTCGTTCGGAGGACGCTGATCGAAGCCACTGCTCGACACGAACGAATGAGAGTGAACACTAGCAAAGCGGGTACAATCTGCTAATGGTCCATTTCTTTAGCGACACAAAGAATTGTAACCACGTGAGAAGAATATCACACCCCGGTGTGAAAAGGGTGTGAAGATAAAAGTCGGTTCGCTCCTCGTTTGACAAGACAACCGATCCACCTGCACATTCGGCGCGATTCTCAGAATTTACCGCAATTGCTAGGTGTTTAGCGCCACCTGCTGGCGATTTGATCATTTCAGCAAACGAGGCCGGAATGGTCTGTCGCATGATGTCCAGCTAATGACCATCCGCTGCTTTTATATGCCGTGGTTCAGCATCGTTGTGCCGAACAGGATGTTAATACAGCGTGATTCCTCCGGCGTGCTATATCGACAGCGTAATAAGTTCGATCGATATTCATCCTGTTGACCAGTTATTTTGCATCCAAGTTGGTAAAAAATTGTTATTTTCCATGGAATGCTGATTTAGTTGCAGAGCAGAGTAGAGATTAGGCCGTGCTGATAAATTGCTTAACCGACGTTTGCCTTCACAATGATAGAAGAGTTCCGGTTAGTGTATTTGATGTTTTTGTTGTATGGCTTACTCTTACGTTGGTCATAATGCGAATACAACAATACTTACATTTATTCAATACGACTTAATGTTGGATGCTTTTCCTAGCATGTACCCTTTAAGAGATGTCCACAAATCGAGTCAGCCTCCTCCACAGTTTCCTGTGGTTCGTTACATCTTTAGGGACTCCTCGCAGTTTCATATCGTTCTTGATGACATCGCACCATCTTTTCTTCATTCTTCTCCTTCTTTTTTTCCCTGGCGGTATCAGTGCTTGGGCCACATTTCCAACCTACTCGATGGGCCTGCTTTTGAAAGCATAAGCTTTCTGAAATTGGTGCTTCCCCTAGAGTTCTTCTTATAGAGCCGTATCGATTGTGATCGTTTCTGCTGACACCACACATCCATTTGAGCATTCGCATTTTTACCGGGTTCACCTGTTGCTCATATCTCTTGAGTGTAGTCAAAGATTCCGCACAATACATAAGCACCGGTCTTAGTCTCTTTCTGTACAGCCTCCCTTTCGGTCTGATGGGCATCTTCTTGTCGCACAGTACTCCGCTCACTTCTCTTCATTTGAGTCAAGCGTTTTTGACCGATTTCTTACCTCGCTGTCGATTTCCGCTTTATCTTGCAGGATGGAAACAAGAAAGTTGAATTCTTGGGTTTGAGGCAGCAAGCACCCCGTTATTTTCTCCGGTTTGACGGATTTTAAGCTGTCCCCCCCCTGAAATAGCCCGGCATATATTCTGACTTGTCTTTGCTGAACCGAGGACCGTTTTTCTCAAGAGTTGATCTCCATGCCTAGATTTTTGATTCTTTAGCTTCTCTGCTTTCTCTGCATAACACTGTGTCATTTGCAGGGAGCATGCAATAAAATGCCATAGCTTGATTTGATGAAGAAATTGTTGGCGTTAGTTCCGGCCGCTGCGACACTTTACAGGAAGTGTCGGGGAAAGCTGTTGTTTTGTCATAGTCATCTGAAGTTAGTAGAGCTTAAGCATTAGAGTAGCCAGATTGATGTTAAACAGCGTGTACTACGTTAAACAACGTGGCAAAAGTTACATTCCTCTTTGCAAGCATGCCTGCCTCAACAAGATGCTTTCATGCTTTAAATGTCTTCCAGAAATAGAGTTTTTGCAGTCAGATTTCATAGCAAAAGCCGCTGAACCACCCTGTGGATATAAGCCATTCATCAAGCGACAAATGGGTCACGCAGCCAGCTTTTTACCATCACGAACTGTAGAACAATTCTACGAGACGCAGGTAAAACGTGGTGTAGGGAAGGTGTTTACCAACCGCATGATTCTATTACTGTTACTAAAACAAATAGTATAAAATAATAATCGTGAAAATTGCTTGAGACCTTTGCTTTCAAGGTAGGCAAAGCATGGATGCTTGTCAAAATTGCAGAAGTCTGTAGTCATTTAACAGCGAAAGAAGTTTCTCAGGTACATCATTACCGGACACGGATTGTATCATTTGTTGCAGTTGAAAGCATGATCTGAATAGGGTTTCCCTGATATGCAGGAAAGAGTTAAAATAATATCTGAATGCAAGAACTGCCATACGGGTCTGCTTGGTCAGAAGATCTTGTCTTCGACGTCCTGAAGAATAGTCGCCGCATATAAATGACAAGGCATCAAAGACAACTGTTTCGTCAAATACTTTCCAGCCGTCTTACACGCAGTGTTATCACAGGCATCACATTGACTTCCCTTTTACTCTATCATGTTTGAGGCTTGAGCCAGACCAATGGCCATCGGTTCAGCTGCTCGAATACGCATTCTTCTCCTCAACATAATTCAGAAACTCGAACGCTGAATCACCCCC